AATAGCATATTTTTGTCATCTTTCTTGAGAAATGACACATAAATTTTGATTTCCGTATGAAAAAAAAGTCCAAGTTTTCCGTCATTTATCATTCTGCAATCCTCGGCTGACTCCACTACGCTCCATTACAAAAAGTGCTAGGTCATCCAAGGGGCAACAACTGGTCTAACTGGTTTGACATTGACGCGATTGTCTAAATATGGAGACGTAAACAAAGATGTAAGGAAAGGAACGCTAAGGTTTAACCCAACTTCTTTCAATTTGTTTCAGCAATAAAGAGACAGAACAACGTTTCTTTTAAAAACAAAACACCGCGGAAAATATTTATTTGCTCTGACAAGTAAAATGATCTGTTAGACTGGAAAATTTTTGTCAGACCAGATACATGCAACTCATTTTTTTTTCGTTGGTAAAGGGAAAAAATAATAGCATTAAAGTTTGTTGATATTCTATCACACAATTTCAAATGACATTAAATTTGCATCCTTAATTTCATGAATTTATCAGCATTCAGTTGGTCACGTGTCAGGCACGTAGCATCGTTTTTGAAAAATGTGTGTGTATTTGTATTGCCATTACCTTATAAAAATTTTTTTTTATTATATAAGAATTAAAACAGAAGTTGACAAGCACGCAAAAAATTAAAAGAAAATTAAAAGTTGTTCCTCATGATAACAACTATTTTTACTCGAAAATCCTATTGTCTGTTTGTCTGTTTGTTTGTCTGCAGGCGCGTAGCCAGCATTGAAATGAAGGGGGGGGGGGGGGGGAGGGTAGTGGGTCCCGAACTTTTTCAAAGCCAACATGGATTTTACGAAATTTTTTCATTTTCCTTTAAAAGAAATCATTCTCTTTTTTCCAAACCTTGCTAGTTATACTTACATGGTTATAAAGAGGGGGGGGGGATAATTTGATCAAATTAATTTACGAAATGAAAAACATTTAGTGTGACAAGATAAAGGTAATTTAATAAGTTGTCATTGGAGTTAAAGTATTTCAAAATATAAAAGAGGGTGTGGGTCTTTTGATAACCTTTATATTCTGATAGCTTAAACAATGTGAGAGTAATTGGTAACATCAGTAAAATAAGATATTCGTAAATGATCTATATTTTTATTTGCTTTGTTCAGAATTTTGCCTTTTTTTTGTTTTTGATTTTATTATATAATAATTAAAACAGTTAAGACCCTTGTAACCTTTTCTTTAGATCAATGTCACTTTGATGCATCGCACACATACATGTAGTGGATAATCAGGATTACGCGGATTAACAGTTGAACATTTTGGTTCAACAATATTTTCTTACTCAAGTCAAGAATTTTTGAGTTCCTTTAAAAAAGACTGGATTTTATTTAACGATATTCTGAACAAAATTTGAATAGAAACAATAAGACGTAAAATAATTTGAAAGACAGATAGTGCCTCTTTTTCTCCGAATAAATCTCTCTCTCCTTTTTTTCTTTTTTCTTTCTTCCTTTCTTTTTTTTTTTTTTTTGTTTTTGAAAATGATGTGTACGCACTTGCGTACTTGAGTATAGGCAGCTACGCGCCTGGTCTGTTTGTCCCAAACTTTAACCTTCACCATAACTTTTGAACTATAAAAGATAGAGACTTCATACTCCACTAATTAAGCTCTTTCAAATGACACAAAGGTCAATGACCTTGTGACCTTGACTGTGGCCTATATACTAAAAATAGCTTTTTCTGCAAACTTTAACCTTCGCCATAACTTTTTAACCATGAAAGATAGAGATTTCATATTTCGTATGCAAACTCCACTAATCAGGTTCTTTCAAATGACATTAAGGTCAATGACCTTTTGACCTTGACTGTGACCTAAGTGCTAAAAATAGCTTTTTCCGAACTTTGTTGCCGGGCGCATAGTGTTTCAGATAACAATGTTCAACTCCCATGAGTTTCAGTACTTTGATTCTATTTTTTTAATATTAAACATTGAAAAAAAGTAGAAAAGAGACAGTATTATTTGCATACATTTACACTCTGATTTCGTTAAGGGATATGCATATTCCTCACAAAAAAGTTATCATTCAAATATGCCTTTTAATTTGTCTCATATCCTAATGATATATTCATTTTTCCCATATATGCCTTTCAATACATATCTATTCTTTCTTCTCTCCACTTTTATTTTCATTTTTTCCCACCGAAAGTATATTTAGATAATATGAAATATATTAAATGTTGGCTACACTTTTTTTATGTCTTTGATTCTGAAGTCTGAGTAGAAAATAATAACTATATATCTCAGTTTTTTTCCTGTACTTTTAAATTTAGGTTATGCACATAAATTATTCAATTCACCAATTAAATCACCAATTGTTCAATTATCCGAAAATATATCCTGTTCATATGTCAGTTTTGATTGGTTAAATGGGAAGATCCTGCGTCCATACATGTACCTATCACTATATAAGGAGATGAAATAATACAGTACAATCATACAGATTGGAAACTGAATTTGTTTCAAGAAAAATAGAAGATGAAGGTAAGTTTCTTTTTTTAAATAATTTATTGAATATTGATGTATCTGGTAAGGTTAAAAAGGAACTAAAATTAAATACTGTCATAATTTGATAAATAAATGCAAACAGTATAGATGTTAATAACAATTGATTATGCATTTATCTCGTTTTCAAAATTTCAAGTAGGAAGAATTTGTGATAGACCTTTTTAACGAGTTATCAACTCATGAACGATAATTCTCATGCACAGGCACCAATCTCTCACCAGAGGGCGCGCTCCGCTTGTGTTGGAGCAAAGCGTAAAAACGCCCTCTGGTGAGAGATTGGCACAGGCACTTGACGTTTCATATTTTTATACAAAAAGAATAACCTACTAGTTATTTGGGAAGTTTCTAGTATGCGTCAGAGAGATATGCGCACGATATTTACATGCATAATAGCTATAGTATTAGACCTCCTTAGCTCCTGATCTATCGACCTGCCTAGTTTACATTCCGGTAGAATTATCAATTGGAATTTTGATCATGAAACCGGTTCTTAATTCAACGGCATAAAAACACATATTTATGACTTTTTTTTTGCAATTACCCCTCCCCACTCTGCACTTTCAATTTGCTTCCGACACCAATGTAATCAATGCACACTTAATTAATTCAGTAATTCAGTTATATTCTTAGAATAAACTATTTTTTTTTAAATATATCTTAGTTTTCAAAGTTACATGTAGCTTAAAATCGCAATATTTCACCTAATACATGTATTTATTTAAAAAGAAGTATATTTGTATATGTAAATCCTGAATATGAGTATATATAGTATATAAAGTCTAGATCCGCGCCTGGTTTTTTTTTTCTTTTTATATAAAATTCACATAAATATCAATATAAAAATAAAAATTATTCAAATATGTATGGCAGTTAGCAGTAAGCAGCTGACAGTTGGCAGTAAGCTGTCAGCAGTTAGCAGTAAGCAGTTGGCTGTCGTATATGACATTCCATAGTTTTCTTAATTTTTATAGTTCTTTTTAATCAAAAAATGTTTGCCTTAGATACACAACCCTGGCTTTCAGCGTTATTAATTTTTTTTTAATAAAGTAGCCAAAATATAACATTGATCCCCCCAAATCGTGGAAACACAAGATACCCGGTAGTTTGTGAGGGAATTTCTGAAGCGACCCTTCCATCCAAGAGAAACATGGTTAGGTTTTCAACATTGGCTAGTTTCCCTTTCGTTTCGTTTATTTATTTTGTTTATGCTTTTTTGTCACAATATTTCAGAGGGTTTTGACACCATACCCCCGCCTCCGAGAAAAACTAGGATTCCCCATATCTCTCTCTCTCTCTCTCTCTGAATAGGAATGCGCTTTTTAGTTGTTTAGATAAAAAGAAGTTGCAGGGACGGTGTTTTTTAATTGTTGATATCAAAGATGGTTAGAAGAGTAGCTTTTAGTCCATCCCAGACTCTAACTCTAGTTCTCATTCTCAAGGTTATGCTCCTAAAACGATCCATTTTTAGGCCGAGGCAGGCTACTGACAGATAAGTTTGTTACGGGGATTTCGATTCACCAACCTTGTTTAAAGTCAGCGTTACTTACATGCTATGGTCACTATATTGATCTTTATCACATTTATAACCTATAATTGGATTTATTTTGGCCGATGTGTTTCATTCTAAGTTTTAGGCTATTTAACACAGGCACTTGTTTCGTATACGGGGTACCCCCTACCTATATTTACCACAAGGTACCTAACTCTTTTTCGGGCACCCCCGCTTCAAGCTCGTATTTACTAATAAATCAATCATACACCTACATTATCTTGACATAGTTCGCTCCAAGAGATATTTTTCTACATTACTGACGTCTCCTATAAAGATATTTTGTTGTAAAATGCTTATTTATTCATCGATAATCAGCTGGAATCATAGTAAGACAAACTTTAAGCTACATTGACTTCCGGTAATTGGGGTCTAAATGTTATATCAGTGATTTCATTGGTTGCTAAGTTAAGCAACGCAAAAGTGAAAATTAAGTCACGGCGTTGACAAAATCGCAACAGGAGATTCTGGATAAGGCTAAAGTATAATTAGTATCTAAAAATATATATTATCTATAAAAATGTTACCAATTATTTTTCACTTGCAGATTATTTTAATTTCATAAAAAATATTTTGTCCGTAAGCGCCAAACCGGAAGTCAATGTAGCTTAAAGTTTGTCTTACTTTGATTCCAGCTGATTATCGATGAATAAATAAGCATTTTACAACAAAATATCTTTATAGGAGACGTCAGCAATGTAGAAAAATATCTCATGGAGCGAACTATGTTTAATACTTCACAACTGATGTTTTCAAGATAATGTAGGTGTAAACATGGGATAAATAAGCATTTTACAACAAAATATCTATCAGCAATGTAGAAAAATATCTCATGGAGCGAACTATGTCAAGATAATGTAGGTGTATGATTGATTTATTAGTAAATACGAGCTTGAAGCGGGGGTGCCCGAAAAAGAGTCAGGTACCTTGTGGTAAATATAGGTAGGGCGTGCCCCGTATACGAAACAAGTGCCTGTGCTATTTAATTTGTTAATTGTTATACTGAATTTGACTAGATAGGATGTTCTGTCAGTGGCGTATATTCCATATAGGCTAAAGGCTGCAGCTTACACATGATTTTCTCAAGGTGTACAAAAAATGTAAACATATATAACTCTGACAGTAATATAAAAGGATAGAGTTAATAATAAAGTTACTTTAAAATAGGTCTTGCCCTTTTAATTTTATTTCATTTGATGTTGAATGCCAAAAAGGTAATAATCTTTAGCAAACTGCATTTTACGTAATCCGATTGTTTGATTCCGATAATTTGGTTATAATTCAAGGTGAAATTTCAAAATTTACTTTAAAGTCTATAACAAATTTTTATATCCCCCGCTTGAAAAGCGGGAGGGTATTTAGTAATCGGTATGTCCGTCCGTCCGCTGTCTGTTACGCTTTGGGATACCCATCTCCTCTTATACCACTGAGTGAAATTTAATGAAATTTACACAGAATCTTCTTTACATTTTGCCAATGTGAACCACTAAATAATTTAAATGATACTTTCACTCAGATTCTTTATTCCATAATGCCTTTGTGCACATTCTATTTTACTTTTTAATCTAACACTTATTTCGGGCCTCTAAGAGCACAACAATGACTTTGTCATTATAATCATATGGGAGGGGGGTATCATTTAGTGAGCTCATTGATCACAGTACATGTATCTCTAGTTCATGACTAAAATGATGGATGGATTTCAAAATTTTGTAGATTTAAGGCAATTGAATAGATCCTGTTCACTTGTCGTATATATCCTATAAAACCAGGATCTAATGCTTCAGATTTCCTTGTCGTGTCGTCTTATCATTACGTGATTAACCAGAGAAATTTGTCTCCTTTTGATAATAATATGAAATTTTTGTTTAGTAATGAGATATAACGAAAAAATTTATCTCTGTCCTCAGTATATAATGGGCATTCATTAAGAAAATGATATTCACCTTCTGTATAGTTTTGGTTACACATTAAAAACATTCTTTTGTTTCTATCTAAGGGAATTCTTTGACCAGCATTATTTTTTACAGATTCATATCTGCCTTTTTCAATTCTTAGGTCATGAACACTTATTCTAAATCTGCATATGGATTATCTTATTTCATGAGATTTGATGTACATATAGTTTTCCATTGTAAAATTTTTTTTAAACATGAAATAAGTAGTAAGTTTTCCAGAGTCAAGTCCCTCTTCACGTTTCATTTTCCAATATTGTAGGAAGTGTTTTTTTCAAATGTTTCTTGACTTGCTTTTTTAAAAATGTGTTTTTGTATGTTTTACATTCTGGTAATGAGAGATTAATTTTCTTACTGAAATAAATTACATTTTTGTACCAGCAGTTAATATTGCCTTGACTAAGGTTAATATTTTCTGTATAGGCTTTATGTAACAGGGAAGATTCTGGACTTGATTGCAACCTATGCCAGTGTAATAAGATGTTTTGAATTATTGAAAAATGCATCGTATATATATTGTACACCGCCTTCGGCGGCACCTATTTTAGCGCCATATTTACTACAGGAACCGGTATACCAGAAGTGTTCCAGCTATTTTTATGTAAGAAAATATGATTGATTGATTGATTGATTGATTGGTGTTTAACGCCGAGTCGGCGATATTTCAGCCATATTTCGGCAGGAAATTATGTTAAATGATCAGTTTTGAAAGTTTTTTGGTTTCCCTGGCGGCCCCTAGTGAGCCTACTTTTTTCGAAAACCGGAGAAACGATCTTTTGCGTGCCAAGGGGGTTGTTATCCTTGACACGGGGCACCGTTTAACGTCCCATCCGACGGACAAGAAAATATGTAGCGTCAAGTATTCTCAAGAAATGCCTTCTATGTGGAATGTATTCGTTAAAATTGTTTTCTCCTTTTTGTTTTAAATACAGATTTTGATAGTTGCTGTCCTTGTGGCGTGCTTTATGTCTTGCTATGGCCAGAAGACTCAATGCCTTTTAGAAGACCCAGTAGACAGGGAGATTGATGGGGGGAGTCGAGCCCAGACAACAGATATGATGTAAGTTACGTCGTATTTCAAGGTCACTATGATTAAAGAAAGTTTTTATTTAAACCATTCATGGATCAGCCAAAGATGATATTTAATCTACTGCGAGTTTCAGATTTTAAAAAAAGATTTAAAAAAAAAGATCTCAGAAAAAAAAACAACAACTAAATAATCATTTTACTATATCTTTTCTATATAAAAAATATATTTTTGATCTATTATGCTCAGTGTTTTGTAATTACTAAGTTATTGCAATGTTATTTTAAAATGTGCTGCGCTTCAACATTAATCAGTACAAATAGATTTGAGCTCCCCTTGAAAATAAAGACTTGTGATTATTATACAATCAAAGTATATCATTAGGGGAGTTAGCATGGTCGAGGGGAACTGGAATCTTGCTAACTTCCTCAACGATATACTTTTTAACTGTTTTATTATACCGATACAAAAATTAAAAAAAAATAGAGGATAACTTCTGGACTAACGCACGGGCATTAGTCCATTAATTACTTTGAATAATTTTTCACCTGTCTATAAATATTTGCGAATCAACAGTTTAAATTGAAATCTAAGAAACAAATGTTAAGAAACAAAATTCAAGTACTTATTGTAAACGCCCAGTCTACATAGTACTTTATTATGGTTAAACAATTTGCATTACGGAAGAACAGTTTGGTGTAAGCTAACAGAAATGAAACACGGTAATATTTTGAAATATTTACTTAATATTTTGGTCGGCAGGGGATGCTCACTCCTTCATGGCACCTGATCTCCATATTCTCCATAAATAAATAAAGGAAGATAGATTTGAATTATACGTATTTATACTATTAATGAGAATTTGAAAGATGCATGTAACTTAAATTTATGTCAAAATTTCAAATCAATATTACGTCTGAAATAATTTTGAGAATGAAGGGAAAATTCATCCTTTCTTTAATTTGAAAATTACGCAATTATATAATAATTTTAATACACATAAATGATGTTATATAAAAAAAAATATTCAAAATGAAAACTGTGACTTGAGTCAGTTTTCAATTTTTAAGGTCGCGAGACCTGACTTGTTATGCAAGAGCTACATGTAGTTATGATACAGCTTGCTAACTTCACATCGTATTGTAGTGTTGAATCAAGAAGCTGTATAATTTTTCCTTTCGATTTCTTGCTTTAATTTAATTTTAAATATAATTTGATATATGAAATGTTTTTCATCTAGGCAAAAGATCGATGCTGCTTTGGAAGAAAACACTGAAGTCAAAAATTCAGTGAACGAAATATCAGCTGAAAGAGTAGAACCGATCGAAAAGTAAGACGATATTAACTATTATTATGTAATATGAGCTTGAAGGTAATTGAAAAAAAATCGACATTTGATTATTGATTTTAAACTTTCTTTTTATAGTAAACACTTTGCCCTTGACACGTGTCCAAGGAAACTAGGTTTCATCACTTTCGTTGTTGTTAACGATGAAACGTGCTATGTTGTGCTGCCGAAACTACAGAGGGTGACATATGCGATCTGTGGAGTAAAGTACGTCTTTGTTTAATCAGAACTATAAATAGAACATTAAAATGTATTCTATGTATATTTTTTCCATTATTTGTTTTGTGACTTCTGGTTTTATTCTCACTTGGGAAATTTCATAATTAAAGAGTTCATCGTTAAAGACTAATTGATGTTGTCGTGTGTTAATGTTTGGACCAAAGACAGCAAAGCCTATATGGCAATGTTAATTTTTTGAAAAATGACTGCTCACAAGATTGAACACAGGGGGAAACATATAATGTATTACTTCCTAAAATTGTTAACTTGCAAAAAAAAAACTGTCCGAAGGAAAAAGTAGTACAATATGACTGAATATAATACAGAACTTTTATTCATTCTTTTCTTCATTTCTTCACTCAAATAATTAATTTCTTCTTATTTTCATAGTTTGTTTAGCTGTTTTGTTTTGTATGATTGCAGTGATTGCTATGGGAGCAAATTATACAAGAGTACATGCATCAGAGATGGATGGACCAAGCTGAGGTTTTGGGTGTGGTGTCCAAAGCGTGGTTTCCAACTGGTTTCCAGGTGGTACCCACAATGCTGTTCTTGCTACAGATGGCGCAGTTGCTTCGAATTCACAACAGCATAAATGGCATTAATCAAACCTGAACTGCTCTTACAACTTTTCGTTTTTAAACAGTTGTTTAACTTTCTTTATTACATATTTGATTCTTTTCAATGTTTTTTTTTCTCTTAAATTTGAATTTAAAAAAAAAAAATAATTTGAATAAAATTTTCTTTCCAAATGTTATTAATTTATTGATGCCGAGCATGTGTGGCGTTCAGATTTTAGAACGCAGTTCGCTATTCGCAATTCAAAAGTGAATTGCGTTCTAGAACGCAGTTCGCAATTCAAAATTTAAACATCAGCTGTTTGGTCTGAAATTTTGTGGGTGGGGTACTAGGCGTCAGTTACCACTTCTGTGAAAAAATGGTGATGGTACCATCTCTAGTTTCCGAGATATGGCCCTCCAGTTTTTAGCCCTACTATATAATACTATACGAATAAACATCGGACTCGGGGACATCGAAGTCCCCTACCCTGGGCTCTGAAATATTGAGGGTGGGGTACTAGGTCTCAGATACCACTTCTATGAAAAAATGGTGATGGTACCATCTCTAGTTTCCGAGATATGGTAGTCTACTTTTTAGCCCTACTATATAACACTATACGAATAAACATCGGGCTCGGGGACATCAAAGTCCCCTACCCTGGGGTCTGGAATTTTTGGGGGTGGGACAGTAGGGGCCAGATACCACTTCTATGAAGAAATGGTGATGGTACCATCTCTAGTTTCCGAGATATGGTCGTCTACTTTTTAGCCCTACTATATAACACTATACGAATAAACATCGGGCTCGGGGACATCAAAGTCCCCTACCCTGGGGTCTGGAATTTTCGGGGGTGGAACAGTAGGGGCAAGATACCACTTCTATGAAAAAATGGTGATGGTACCATCTCTAGTTTCCGAGATATGGTCGTCTAGTTTTTAGCCCTACTATATAATACTATACGAATAAACATCGGGCTCGGGGACATCCAAGTCCCCTACCCTAGGGTCTGAAATTTTGGGGGTGGGGCAGTAGGGGTCAGATACCACTTCTATGAAGAAATGGTGATGGTACCATCTCTAGTTTCCGAGATATGGTCGTATACTTTTTAGCCCTACTATATAACACTATACGAATAAACATCGGGCTCGGGGACATCAAAGTCCCCTACCCTGGGGTCTGGAATTTTTGGGGGTGGGACAGTAGGGGCCAGATACCACTTCTATGAAGAAATGGTGATGGTACCATCACTAGTTTCCGAGATATGGTCGTCTACTTTTTAGCCCTACTATATAACACTATACGAATAAACATCGGGCTCGGGGACATCAAAGTCCCCTACCCTGGGGTCTGGAATTTTTGGGGGTGGGACAGTAGGGGCAAGATACCACTTCTATGAAAAAATGGTGATGGTACCATCTCTAGTTTCCGAGATATGGCCCTCCAGTTTTTAACCCGACTATATAATACTACACGAATAAACATCGGGCTCGGGGACATCAAAGTCCCCTACCCTGGGATCTGAAATTTTGGGGGTGGGGCAGTAGGGGCCAGATACCACTTCTATGAAGAAATGGTGATGGTACCATCTCTAGTTTCCGAGATATGGTCGTCTAGTTTTTAGCCCTACTATATAATACTATACGAATAAACATCGGGCTCGGGGACATCAAAGTCCCCTACCCTGGGATCTGAGATTTTGGGGGTGGGGCAGTAGGGGCCAGATACCACTTCTATGAAAAAATGGTGATGGTACCATCTCTAGTTTCCGAGATATGGTCGTCTAGTTTTTAGCCCTACTATATAATACTATACGAATAAACATCGGGCTCGGGGACATCAAAATCCCCTACCCTGGGGTCTGAAATTTTTGGGGGTGGGGCAGAAAGGGCCAGATACCACTTCTATGAAGAAATGGTGATGGTACCATCTCTAGTTTCCGAGATATGGTCGTCTAGTTTTTAGCCCTACTATATAATACTATACGAATAAACATCGGGCTTGGGGACATCAAAGTCCCCTACCCTGGGGTCTGAAATTTTGGGGGTGGGGCAGTAGGGGCCAGATACCACTTCTATGAAGAAATGGTGATGGTACCATCTCTAGTTTCCGAGATATGGTCGTCTAGTTTTTAGCCCTTCTATATAATACTATACGAATAAACATCGGGCTCGGGGACATCAAAGTCCCCTACCCTGGGGTCTGAAATTTTGGGGTTGGGGCAGGTAGGGGCCAGATACCACTTCTATGAAGAAATGGTGATGGTACCATCTCTAGTTTCCGAGATATGGTCGTCTAGTTCTTAGCCCTACTATATAATACTATATGAATGTTTTTCCCTAACCCATTAAAAGGTATGGTTAATGTTTGTTTCTTAAAAGTAGGTCAAACTCCAGGGTCAAAGGGACAACGCTCTTTGTATCCAATGAAAAAATCTCACAAGAAATACATATGTGAAGTATGAAAGCCCTTACCGTTCAAAAGTTATAGCCAAGATTAAAGTTTTTAAATTAAAAGTAGGTCAATATCAAAGGTCAAAGTCAAGAGCTAAAGTATTGGTATCCAATGGAAGGTCTTGTCACAAAGAATAAATATGTAAAGTTTGAACGTCTTAGCACCAACCGTTCAAACGTTATTGCCAAGGTGAAAGTTAAAAAAAAAGAAGATAAAACTCCTAGGCCAAAGGGTCAAGATTGTTGGTATTAAGTTTTTAAAAGTAAGTCTATTTCAAAGGTCGAGGTCAAAAGGTAAAAGTTGTTTGTATCAAATAAAAGGTCTTGTCCCAAGGACTACATGTACCTATGAGAAGTATGAAAACCCTCACTAGCTGTTATGACCAAAGTAAAAGTTTGGAATTTTGGTGTAAGAGTGTGTCAAAGGTCAAGGTCAAAGTTGGCGGTACTTAAAGAAAGGTCTTATCACAAGGAATCCACTTGTGAAATTACAAATATGAAAGCCATAGTCCATCCCAGAAATCTAAAATTAACAGTACTCATAAAAGTTCAAAAGGAATAAATCGATAATTTTCTTCTAAACCAGAAGTCTCTGTCGAGACTGAAGCTCTACTGGTTTGTACTTTTCGTATTTTTAGTAACCACTGCAACAATGTTTATCCAAGTCAAAAACCAATATACAGATTTGTGTATTTTAGCACACTCTACATGTGTGCCAAGTTATATTGAAATCAGACCAAAACTGTAGAAAATGTAGCATTTTGAAAGAATTTCCCAGAAATTTCTATTTTTAGTAACCACGGCAACACCGTTCATCGAAATCAAAAACCGATAAACAGAATTATGCTTCTTAGTGTAGTCTACTTGTGTGCCAAGTTATATTGAAATCAGACCAAAACTGTAGCAGGAGTAGCATTTTGAAAGAATTTCATAGAAATTTCTATTTTTAGTAACCACGGCAACACCGTTTATCGAAATCAAAAACCGATATACAGAATTATGTATCTTAGTGTATTCAACTTGTGTGCCAAGTTATATTGAAATCAGACCAAAACTGTAGGAAGAGTAGCATTTAGAAAAATTGTTTAGAGACAGACAGACAGACAGACAGACGGACGGACGGACGCCGGAAGCATTACTATCGCATAAGCCGTTCATCGAAATCAAAAACCGATAAGCAGAATTATGTATTTTAGTGTAGTCTACTTGTGTGCCAAGTTATATTGAAATCAGACCAAAACTGTAGGAGGAGTAGCATTTTGAAAGAATTTCTCAGAAATTTATATTTTTAGTAACCACTGCAATAATGTTTATCCAAGTCAAAAACCAATATACAGATTTGTGTATTTTAGCATACTCTACATGTGTTCCAAGTTATATTGAAATCAGACAAAAACTGTAGCAGGAGATGTAGCATTTTGAAAGAATTTCACAGAAATTTCTATTTTAGTAACCACTGCAATAATGTTTATCGAAATCAAAAACCGATAAATGGAATTATGTATCTTAGTGTAGTCTACTTGTGTGCCAAGTTATATTGAAATCAGACCAAAACTGTAGGAGTAGTAGCATTTTGAAAGAATTTCACGGAAATTTATATTTATAGTAACCACGGCAACACTGCTTGTCGAAATCAAAAACCAAGTTATAATGAAATCAGGCCAAAATAGTAGGCGTAGTAGTATTTTGAAAGAATTTCCCAGAAATTTCTATTTTTACTGACCACGGCAACACCACTTGTCGAAATCAAAAACCGATAAAAAGAATTATGTATCTTAGTGTAGTCTACTTGTGTGCAAAGTTATATTGAAATCAGACCAAAACTGTAGGAGGAGTAGCATTTTGAAAGAATTTGACAGAAATTTCTATTTTTAGTAACCACTGCAATAATGTTTATCGAAATCAAAAACCGATAAACAGAATTATGTATCTAGTGTAGTCTACTTGTGTGCCAAGTTATATTGAAATCAGACAAAAACTGTAGGAGCAGTAGCATTTTGAAAGAATTTCACAGAAATTTCTATTTTTACTGACCACGGCAACACCGTTTATCAAAATCAAAAACCGATACAGAGAATTATGTATCTTAGTGTAGTATACTTGTGTGCCAAGTTGTACTGAAATCAGGCCAAAACTTTAGAAGGAGTAGTATTTTGAAAGAATTTCAGGGAAATTTATATTTATAGTAACCACGGCAACACCGCTTGTCGAAATCAAAAACCGATACACAGAATTATGTATCTTTAGTTAGTGAAGTCTACGTGTGTGCCAAGACAGTTATATCGAAATCAGACCAAAACTGTAGGAGGAGTAGCATTTTAAAAGAATTTCACAGAAAATTCTATTTATAGTAACCACTGCAATAATGTTTATCGAAATCAAAAACCGATAAATAGAATTATGTATCTTAGTGTAGTCTACTTTTGAGCCAAGTTATATTGAAATCAGACCAAAACTGTAGCAGGAGTAGCATTTTGAAAGAATTTCATAGAAATTTCTATTTTTAGTAACCACGGCAACACCGTTTATCGAAATCAAAAACTGATATACAGAATTATGTATCTTAGTGTATTCAACTTGTGTGCCAAGTTATATTGAAATCAGACCAAAACTGTAGGAGTAGTAGCATTTAGAAAAATTGTTTAGAGACAGACAGACAGACAGA